TACACAGCARCTTTAAAATACTTCTCTTAGGAAAAATGACTGCTCCTACCAAACTTGTGTTCTATTTYACTTAGACTAAATATTTAAAATTGAACACTAACATTTCCTACATCACTCTCAAGAGAGTACAGCACCTCTCTCCTCTATCTACTAATGCCTCTATGGCTAAACAAAGCAACACAGCACTTAAATTAACATAATTAATTCAGATCTCTTGAGGACAACTGAACCATTTTACTGCTCCAGTTTAATGAGAGGGCAGCTGATATGGTAAGCTATGAATGATATTAGATCAGAACAAGATATTTTAAGTATAACTTTAATCAACATGGCCAAAAGTTCAGCATCGATTCCTTTGGCAGGTAAGTCACAAGGTAAAGAGCAGATGAAAAACAGTCAAATAGTACCTGGATATTAAGTAATAAGACAAARTCATATGAGTATAAACTATATGTATAAAAGACAGGCATCCTAGCAAGCAGCATGATACATTAGAATCATAAAGATAACTTGGAGCTGTCATATCTGACTGTATGAGTGATTTAGATCAGTAAGCTTGTAAGGCCACAGAAACTAGGAATTACAAACTCTTAGATCTGCCCTGATTTTCTTTCAGGTCAGACTAAATAGACCAAAGTATTTATTTAATATTAGAAAATAAGTGATGGGTTAGGGGTAGGCAAAATATACTTCCAAGCAACCACTCATCATCTGATCACTTGTGTTGTAACAGAAGGCAGTTCTATAGTTAACTAATTAATGACAATCTAGAATCTTACTTCTGGTCCATCTTATTAAATCACCATTTAAAATTTCTATTTGCTTTTATCTGTTATATAAGACATTAAGGCAAAAACAAGTGCTCATGAAGGCCATACTGTAGCAYTGCAGGAAAGACTGTTTTAAATATAGAAACAAAAGCTGATCTTAAATAAAGCTACAGTACTATTTTATTTCATTTGTAGAAACATTTTCATCAAAATTCTCCAGTAACAACTTGCCAATTTCTACCAAAATATGCATGTCCAAAATACATATTGTCTACAATATATATTCTATCTACAAACATACACTATCTATATACACATACACAGAGTACTTTATATAGTATACTGGCATATATATTCTCCTACTATAGAACCTGTTTCTGCATAAATCAGTACATTATCAGCAGACGGTTCCTATAATTATAACAATTAGGGCTAGAAGAATGTGAAGTTATTGGAGAGATATTTGCTAGCAAAGAGCTCAAAAATGACACCAAGTAGGCATCAGAAAAAAAAAAAAAAAGAGGCCTTTTTGCTGTACGTTACAAGTACTGTGATTCTCACGTCCAAAACGCTAGCAAATTATACTGAAATGAAGTCCAGTCATTTTAATTCATTTTGAATGTCAACACAGGAGGACATTGGCAATTGAATTAGTAACACATGCATCTGCATGACAGAATATTCTTAACCAGGAGCTTTAGCAAAAAAAAAAAAAAAAAGTCCCAGGAAAAACATAGGGCATTTTAAAGGTCTGGTTTTGCAGCTGAAAGTTCATAAAAGACTTCATAGGATTGCTCTAAACGGCTACAGTTTAATGGTTACTTACAAAGATTGCTTTAATTTAAATCAGTATTATGTGCACTGARCTGACATTTGATACAATAACATAATAACACAATAAAAGTCACACAACATAATAATGTAACTCATTTCTACATCAAACTAAGTGACTTTAAGACCCTGAAGCCTAAGATTTCTCAGTGAACTGTAACTGGATCAAATCAAAAGTAGCTTTTATCACATTTTTAAAGTAGTAGTTTGAGAGCTTGCTAACCACCAAATTTCAAACCACCTCCCCAAAGTTAAAATTATGTCTTTTTAGAGGCTGGCAGGCCCTTGGCGATTCATTCAGTAACTCTAAACAATCTATGAAAAAAAAAA